AGCCAGAGAAAACACACTTTGCCCTGTCTGCATCACAAACTTATATACTGGGCAGTTGTCCTGAGAGCTTTCTTTGCCCAAGAAGCCTGGGAATGCAGCAATTTAAAAAACTGAGCCAGTAACAGAAATGTACACACTGACCTTAGAAACACTACATGAGTTCTAGGAATGCAGAGAGATTTTTATGTAAAACAATAAAAAGTAAATGCAGTTTCCAGAAAACTTGGAGATAACTTGCTATAGATGTTTTTCCCCTCAAGTTACTTGTCCAAGTTCATACTGTTTCCTAATGGCAGAACTGGAAGGAGGCCTGGCATTTTGGAACCAGGGCCCTGTGCCCTATCCATGTTGCACTTCTGTTGTGTTGGGTTTGGTGTGCTGGAGTGCAAGGGGTTGGAAGGCACATTTGTTCTCTTTGAACCTGGGACTGTGCATCCTAGATGAGCTCTTCTTGATCACTGAGTCTTCTTTGGGGTGACTTGACTTTGGTGAATGAAGGGCTGTGCTTGTGTAACTCTGGCTACCAGCTCTCTGTTGGAAAGGTCCTAGTGCAAGGTACTTGGTTGCTGGACAACCGGTGGTGCTGGTTGATTGTCTTACCTACTCTGTATCAGTGAGCCTGCAAAGTCTTTATACCCAGAATGCCCATAACTTTCAGTGTCATGGGAGTTTTTACATTCCTCCTCCATAATCATCACACCTCAGGTGGATTGCTTCTCCACACCCCCATCCTTCACACGTGGAGCTTGTTGCAATCTGTAACTCCGCTTCTTGCCCAAGGATTGCCAGCTCTGCATGTGGAGGCAACAGTCCAGGATCACCTTCCCTCACCCACGATCACAGATTTAGTTTAAAGCTTTTATTTTTATAGATCTGGACCTGGAAACTCCTATCCATTTAGGACTTGTCTAAAGTCTCATAGTAACCTAATGAATGGGAAAAGCCAAATCTCTTGTTCTGGGCAGGACTAAGTATGGCAGATCTCCCTGAACCACTGTTCATGCCTCATTAGCATCAGAGATGGTATCAAGCCCAAGCTGAGCAGCTGCAGGCTCTTAGCAGAGACAGGCCCAGCCCAGAAAGGCTTGTGGAAAGGCTGTCTAGTACAATGAACCCCTGAGTGAAGAGCGTGACTATGGCTTTTGCTGAGGTACATCAGCTGTCTGTCCATACCTTAACTGATTTAGGAGAAGATCTTGTTATGGGTCTTACAACCAATGACAAATTAGAATCAATTTTGTTCCTTTCAAAGAAATGAGTTGTAAGTCTGACCCTCTCCAATCTCAATTAGTCACCCTTTCTTTCCAGTCTCAAAGTATTTTATTTGTATCTCTAGTTGGCATGGGCTGTGAATCACTGCGTTTTCTCTGTTGTTAGTTCACATGCTGGCTATGTAAAGGGGTCCGAATTGGGAGCTCATGGGATACCTGTGCCTGGGTTGTGAGGCTTTTGGAAATATTTAGCATATAATATTTGAGACCTTTTAAGGCAGTAATAGGTGCGTACAAGGAAACTTTAATTTAATAATATAATTTTGTTGCTGGAGATTATGTATCAGAATAAGAACCTAAAGCTAATAAAATAAGGGTGACCCTCCTTCCATGGAAGGATTAAAAATAAGAAATAGATATCTTTTCACTTACTCCGCATCTGTGCATTCCAGACCAGGATGCAGACATTTTGCTGTTTTTCGTTTCTAGAATGACAGAAAAATTATCTTTTTGGGGAAGAACTCATGACTTTTAAATAAGTCAGTTGTGCCATAAAGCATTCTATTTGCAGTAAAATTATTTAATGTGGAAAGAATGCGGTTAAGAATATAGTAACATGCTATTTGTAAAGTGTAGCATCCAAGGACACTTTCCTTTTCTGAAACAATGTTTTGAGAAAGATGTTAATTTTAGAAGTTGGCTACACAGCTGACCCCACCCTGGCTCCAGAGTCCAGTACCATGACCCAGGGATTGCCATTGACTTTTCTGCATTTAAAAAGTGACCATATCCAATTATGTGCAAAGAAAATCTCCCTGGAAGGCCCTAGTAGGCAGGTGCCTGTCTGGCCACTTGATGTATTTCATTTGTTATTTAGGCCAGGCTGATGGGAAGAGGCTAAGGTTTTAGCCCCCACCCCCACCCCATTCTCATACTTTAGGGGTCAACATGCCTGACACATATGTGGCGGAAGTTGACATAAGATTAAGGATTTAAATTGACAGGAGTGAGGAAGCTGTGAAATTTAAGGTAGTTGTATGCCAGTTATGCTTTTGGAGCTCTTTGGGAATGAAGATGGGAATGAAGTTGCTTATGTTATTTGCATGTACATTGTCTAGAGTGGAATTTAGACTGTTAGAGCATTGCAGTTCACAAAGTGCTCATGTTCAGTGTTCCTGACCACTCTTTTCACTGGGAGTTGTTGGTAGCCTTTTTTTTTTTTTCCTAGTAACAGGATTAAAAGCTGATTTATTCACTTATTTAAATTTATGTGTGATGAACTATTACGATGGCTAACTGGGGCTGAGTCTTCTCAGCCTTTAGACTTCTACTTGGAAAACATCCCCAAGTGTGTGATTTTTCCACGGACCTCTCCCAGCCATTCTGTGTACCTTGGCCTTCTCTCGCCATGACTACAACGCTCAAGGCCACATAAGCTCCACCATAATCTCATTCTCTGGGCTTAAATTGTCAAGAACACAGAGTGCATCAGACAACAGGGGAGGGGCCCAGACCCAGACCCAATGGACCGAGGGACACCTGTGTCACTTTTTGAATTGCACAGAGCAAGGCTGTGCTTCCACCCTCCAGTTAGTCGCTGGATTTTGTTGTTACATTGAGCACATTCTCGCTGTGCTACCCTTTGCTGTGCAGGAAGCCTTGCCCAAGAGTGTGTCTGCAGTGTGGGCTCTGGGGAGGGCTGTGTTCCCGAGGCCTGGATGGCAGGTTTTGGATGCTGGTGGCACGTCTGCCTGGCCACCAATTCATGGGGCCAGCCGCTCTGACACTCATCATCCCTGTTACAGACCCACACATAGAGACCAGGACTTGTGTATGTGGCAGCAACACAGCCAAGGAAATCTGTTAACCCCTCATGTTCCTGTCTATAAAGTGGGAATATTAACCCACATGTTCAGAGCGCCACTGGGGACGTTGATCGTTCACTGAGTTCATGGGTAATGTGGAGCACGGTGTGGGGCACACTGCGGGCTGTTGGTATTCCCTCCTTTACTTCCAGCTGGACATAAACCTCAGCTCCTCAGCATGCCTGCAGGTCATCTCTGTAGCCTTCCGTGATGCTACTCCTCTCTCACTCTGATTTCTAAGAAGGTTTTGGGAGGGAGTCTACTTCCCAGTAGTTTTCCTCTTCCTCTGTAGCTTGATATACCTCCCCCTGGAAGAACACAAGGCTTGGAGCTGCTCAGAAGACGTGTGCTTCCCAGAGCCTGGGAGCAGAGTTTTAATGAGTTCTCTCACTAGGAAAAGAGGAAGAAGAGAAACTCTCTGTTACTGTAACATGCAGTTTGGTTCGGCAAGTACCAGTTTGTCCAAGCTGAGTGTGGGTTACCATGTGTGTAGATGAAAAGATTGTGAATGTTTCTCTGGAGTCGCTGCAGTGAGAAGCTAGATTATCGACTGGATGGGGCTGTGAGCTGAAGCTCTATGTGTTTTCATGATTGAAACAAATGATTTTGGTTTATGTAAATTATCCCACTTCTACTTAGAGGGCAGTGAATATTCAGTGAGGGTACCAATAAAGGTTGTGCCCGTGGTTGGCCATGCCGGAGCTGTCCCCTGCATGCTAAAAGACAGAAGAAACTTCAAGTGATTGAGAGAGAAAATGAGAGATTGATTGGAAGCCAAATTATAAATTCATTTCCACTCTTGGCCTGCGGGCTGTGAAGTAACATTTGTTGTCAGGGATGGAAAGCAACTCGGATTCAGGTCCAAGTGATTATTCCACTTTGACACTGGTGCCTTCCTGCCAACTGCAATTCCATTTGGACACAGATTAATTAGCCTGGCAGAGGCGGAAGTAGGCAGGAGATGACGGCCAAAGGAGGCGGCAGCACAGCAGAGGCTGTGAGGTAGGGTCAGCGGGACCAGCCCTACGCGGTTGGCAAGCCCTTCAAGGTAAACCCTGCGGTGACCTGGGGTAAGAGACATGGATAGAAAGCCGACTCCACACTTCTCTTCTACCTCACACGCCTGCTGACTTGGCTAATGCCAACGAACCAGCGAGATTCTTCTTCACACTCAGACCCCAGGAGCGTTCCCAGGGAGATGGGGTAGGGGGGCGCAGTACCTGCAGACCCCAGAGGCCCAGCACCTCGCTCAGGCGCTTGTATAATCCCTGCAGGCCCTGTCATCACTCCTGCAAGTGACATGGAAACAACAGCGTGAGTGTGTGTGACACACATTGTTTGCATTGTAAGGATTGATGGGATAGAAATCACCATCGTGCTTGGGAAAGCAGGCCACGTGCGAGCAGGGACAGGGCTGCTAACGCATGTAACAGGTGGGCTCCGCTTTCTTCAGGGCGTTGCCCACTGGCCCGCCATGCCACAGCCCTTTACCTTTACCTTTTTCCGTTCTGCTTTCATCCTAGCTGACACATCCGTTTCCTCCAATGAAATTCCTCCTAGGCAGGGACCGTGTGGTGTGGGCCCACTCCTGTCCCCTCCACGCTGGAATAAAATGAGCTCGGAGCGACGCAAGCCAGCACCTCCGGGGAGCCTGGCGGCGGGGCCCCCAGCGGGACACAGCGCTCTGTCCCCCTGGAGCTCGTGCTCCTTGGGAAGCGACCCCGCCGGCGCTGCGCTCCCAGGGGAACCGCGCTGCGGCCGCCGGCGGCCCCGAGCGCTTGGCCGGCTGCCCGGGAGCGGGCGCGCCTCGCCGCCTCCCCCTGCGGAGCGCGTAGGTCCCTCCCTTCCCCCGAGGAAAACTTCGGCGAGGATTTTCTGTTTGCAACATTTCATTGCGCGGCTGTTTTCTCTTTTAAGCGGTGGCGCTGAGCGTGGTCCCGGCGGGGGGCGGCGCTTCGCTCGGGGCGACCTGGGATCCGCGCGGTTCGCCGGCGCCCACTGCAGGAGCAGCAGTACGCTTGGGGGCTGCGCGCTAGCAGCCGCACCGCTCTGCCCCGCGAGGGCGGCTGTGTTGTTATTTGTTCTTTTTCACGTGAAAAGGACACTGCGTGGCTTCCCACAGTGTTCTCCGGGGCTTTCACTTGTTTAAATCTTGATTTTTGATTTTCAATCAAGTATTTTTGAATTTTACGCATTAAAACAGAGAGGGGAAAATACCCGTCTTGGTTGTTGGAGGTAAGACTGGAGATGAATTGTTTGCTGTTCATTATGTACTAAATGATGAAACATTTTTATCACACTGTAATGTCACCTGACCTTTTTCCCCCCTTCTGTTTTAGATCCTTCTCTTTTCGAGGAGAGCAGCCACGCCAGCTTCCCGGTGCAGGAACGATGTAGCCCCGCTCTGACCCGCGCCCACGCTGCCAGGTAAGTGAGCTGCGGCATTCAGTGCTGGATATGTTTGAAACATGCTATATTTCATTTTGTTTTCAGTAGTTCCAGTGGGCTTTTAACTCGCGATAGCAATACTTTTTTCCAAGTAATACAAAAAATTACTTGACATTGAATTCTTTTACAGTTTTAAAAGACTGAAATCTACATTTAACTTTGCCAGGTTTTTGTATGTATCTGTCGTCCAGTTGTCAAGTGATTTAAATCTACACACAGCTCGAAGAGCTATGTAATTCTCTCTCTCTCTCTCTCTCTCTCTCTCTCTCTCTCTCTCTCTCTCTTTTTTGAATCACTAAAAGAGGAACTTTTTCTGTCCTTTTCGTAAGTTGGGACAAAATAGTAAATTAATCTTTCTAGAATATGGTCTCCTGTAAATGGTACCATAATGTTGACTATGCTACGAACTATTTCTTTAAATAAAATGGTTTAGAAAACCGAAGAATGAATTGTTTAAACTCATAACATCTCAGAGTAGCGCCCGGCTGGACGAGACGCCTGCTTTCAGCCTGGGAAATGTAAATCTCTGCAATGTTGTTTGAGCGCTGCTGGAGGCACTGGGAAGTTTAGGATTCTTTGCAGGAAAGCATTTTATTATATCTGGCGAGACTGAACTTGAAAAACATAACAAAAAGCAAAGGAAGATCCTTAGGGACATTGTTAATGTCGCAGGGAACAGTGTGAATGGGGAAGGCGTGGGTGTGGTTCTTGTGTTCAGCAAAGCCATTCTTCACTGAGTTTTCTCTAGAGATGATTCCGGTGACATAAAAATGAAGGCAGGTAAGCTGTGCTCGGGGCGCACATTTATCCTTGAGTGTACCCTTCGCCTTCCCCCTTCGTGCCTCAGATGTCTGTAGAGATCTTCCTCGTGCTCCTGCATTGTGTTGTTTTTATTTTTATTATTAGGATTAAGATAAAAGATGAGAAGTCAGAGCATTTGAATTGCATTATATTAAATGACAGAGTATGTGGAGGTCTTTTTTTATAATATAATTATGTATATCCTGGCCTTTCATGTTACATATTGAAACAATGCAAATTATGTTTTAATATGCTGTGCCTCAAACTATAGCAAAACCAATATTAATAACTATCTTCAAAATGTAGTTGATTTTCATTTTAGAGAATTTTCAGATTTTATCAAAGACAAAAAAAAGCTATGTTTGATGTGCTGAAAATAGAAAGGTAAGCAATCTTACAAAAGTTAGTAACACAAGCAAAAACAGTCGAAAAGAACTTCCTCACAGATTCTTTTTCCAAGTAGAAAAAGTCAAGTGGCTAAGAGGCCTGAGTGACGCAGGGCCAGCCGAAGGGGCACACGGAATTGTTCCCATCGTGAGTCATGCGATCTTTGATGTTTTTGACTTGGGTGGTGGAAAAGAACAGTGTTAGTAAAGACCTTGAGATAATGTGAGAAAAAAATCAAGACAAAAAGCAACATAGAGAAGCCATCAGAAACTGCCTGAGTTTCACTTGGCAAACGTGAAGTTACAGGAGATTTACACTGCAAAGTCAGGTTCTAGGTGTGATGGTTGGCAGAGGGCAAGCCTGTGTGGCACTCACTGGATTTGAATGGCAGTCACGATGCTGTTGGATCTCAATACATGTGCAGGGACATTGCCAGAGAGCTGAGGGTCCTCCAGGGGAGGTAGGGTGGTCATCTTCTTCCAAGAAGGACAGCTTGCTTTCATGGACTCAGGATTTGAACGACCTACAGCTGCAGACCCTTCCCAGGTCACAGGAAACCCAAGTGTCACCTGCAGAGAGTGTGTTTCTTCATCTGCTTGGCAGATGCAACATGTCACATGGGTTTAGTAATGATGGAGCGCAGGCAAGGGAGTTAATTGTTTGATTCAAATACTTCATGGTGCTGGGCCTTAAAAGTTTTGCAATCGTGAGCTCCTGATGTCCTGCACACATCCTCATGAAGCCTGCCTCAGCACAGTTCCTCCTCAGCTAATTGCCGCTCATCATGTTTTTAGCTTCATTCAGTAGCTTGCCACAGCTCATTGATGTATTTTCTGCCCCTCCTTACCCTGGAATGTCTCCACATGTCCACATCTTAATTCCCTTCCTCCTGACAGGAAGAGGTGCGCTGCTGTCTCTCAGTGCTGCCCTTTCCGCGCTGTACTTTCATGCTGTCTGCTTAGGTCCTCACACTTCCTGGCCCGCCCCCATTTGAAACTGTATTGTTTCCACACTCTTTTTTTCTGCCTGGAATGCATTCTTCTCATCTCTCCTTAGAGAACTCCTACTTATCGTAAAACTTACCTCTGCTGCTCCAGAGAGACACTGCTTAATTCTGAGAACCAGGGCCAGCTCCTGTGAAGCGCTGCATCAAGACATGAATATGTGAGTGAGTGAGTGAGTGAGTGAGTGAGAGACGGAACATGAATAAAGATGTCTCCTACCTGGATCACATTGTCATTTCTGTTTGCAAAATGGTCTTGTGAGCAGAAAGTAGACCTTCCTTTGATCAGTTGATGCTCCACCTTCTCCACAATGTCTAGAAGTCAAGGTTCTGTTGACCTAGTACCTTGTGGGCTCTCGGGAGCGCTGCCAGCACGCCAGCAGTAGTAGGCACCATAAAGTGGTTGCCGATTCAGTCTTGTTAGGAATGAAGCAGGTGTGACTACGGCTCTGTGCTGCATCCTGACATTTCCACTTGTGCCAGTGGCAGCACCATTAGACTGTGTCACTGAGGGCCTTAGTAGCCTTTAAGATTCGTGTACCCTTGCTCCATGAATCCTGGTATGATGCATTTCTCAGAACCCATTCCCTTGGTGGAGCTGTGCATGTACGTAATATCATAAAGCTATCGTGTAGTAACGGCATATTTGAAGGCCAGATAATCAGGTAGAACAGTTTGTGTCTCAGTAAGTAGCCTTCAGTTGCACATGTGTCTTGCTTTCTTTTAAGATACTTTTATTCCTTGGAATGAGGTGCATTGTAAAGTCACCAAGCATTTATTAAGGGTTTTGACCACCTGAATTCTCTGGAGCCACAGTCTATTTTCCACCCTTGAGGCCACCCCAAGAGGTTCACGCTGGTACCAGGATGGGTACCCAGTGGCGTGTGCCTGCTGGCTGTTTTTCACTTCTTCCTGTTGATTGATACATGATTAGGCTTTGTTTCCTGTCTTTATTCTGCTTTAAGGTTCTGCTTACTGCAATTTCCTATGAGGAAATTAGGCCCAAGCTACCAAGCCAGCACTACAGCGTCTCTCCTCTATGGCTTCTTCTGCGTTTTCCAACCCTCAGGGCCTCCCCCATCTCTAGCCTTGGGACTCTCTTTCCTTCTCTGGGAGCAGGGAGTGTCTGGAGAAGCCTTTCCTCGGCCCAACCTGGGGTGGCCTGGCCATTGTGTCTCTCTTTTGCCCTGTATTTCCTATTGTTTATAATTACTTACCTGCTAGATTCCATCTATTCACCATTCTGATCCCTAAAGAATATGCAGTCTTTACATTTTTAAGATCAAGCAGCTGTCTCTTCCTAGTCAAAGTCACAAACCCATGTTTGGATGAGCTTCTGGTGCCTGGAAACCCTCGCTAGACCCTATCGCTGTCAGCATTTTCCTTTGCCTGGCTTGATAGTGTGCCTGCCCTTCCTCGACTGTTTATTTTCTTTTTAAGCTTTGTCTCTTCTGTGCCACCATGAAGAAGGATTTGAGCCCAGCTGGTCTCCTCCAGCACCAGGGCATGCTTGGCTAACTCACTTTAGTCAAAGATTGCAGGAGCAACCTGAAAAGGCTTTCTTAGATGAATCGATTATGCAAAAGTGTTCTCTGCAAAGGGATGGTGATCAGTCTTAAAAGGAAGGGAATTCTGAGACTTTCTCCAAGTCTTTATGAGCCTTGAGGACATCGCGCTGGGCCTAACAGGCAAATTCTGTGCGGTTCCACTTGCATGAGCTACCTAGAGTATTTATAGAGACACAGAGTGCAGGGGAGGCTGCCAGAGGTTGGTGGGGAGGGACAGTGGGGACTTGTTCAGTGGGTGTACCGTTTCCTTTCATGAGACGAAGAAGTTCTTGAGGTTGGCCGCAAGTCAGCGAATTAGACTTCGCACACTGTGGATGTACTTAACGCTGTTGAGCTGTGCGCTTCCAAATGGTTCCAGTGATAAATTTTGCTTTGTGTGTAGTTTGTCACAATGCAAAGTGAAAAGAAAGCCCAAGTGCTTGCTTCTATGAGGATGATTTTCTTTCAGGAGAAATAGAAAGCATTTCTTTGATTTGGAGACTATTCTTCCAGCTTTATTTCTCTTTGCTTCGATTTTTAAATCATTTGTACTTACAAAATAAATAAACCTGTCATTTAATAAACAGTGATAAAACAAACATTTGTACTGGTAAGGCCATCTGGAATTAATTTCAGATCTTATTATCCCTTTTCTTACTGTCTGTTTTGGGCAGTTAAAATCTGATTCAGTATTACTCACTTCCTCACCTGTTTTTGTGCAGTAAAGAAATTAGGTTGTTATTGCCCATCCAGAAATACTTGTATGACACTTAAAAAATTAATTTTATGATTAAAAGCAGAAATATCCTTTCACAAGCAGAGGGCCTGACAGGCTCTGGGGCTTGGTATGATCGCTCAGGAGAAGCTGGCCACTTTCCTCTTCGCTTTTGTCTCCCTCATCATGGTAATGCACCTTCCTCTCGGGGAAGCATGGCTCTGCAGCTGCAGGTGACCCCACAGTTTGGAAAGAGTGACACTTTGAAACCTTCAGCTAACACTTAGGGAGCGGTTCTCTTTGGACATCAAAGTTCTGACTCAGAATACAGTATCTTTCTTAAAGAATTTGAAAAGAAACTGGAATCACACCAGACAGGATTCTGCGAGTGGATGTGGGAGATCGGGCAGAAAGGTAAGGGCGCTGCCTGGTAAGGACTGTGCTAGATGGGGCTGAAAGACACAGAGCAGAAGGGCAAGAAGAATAAGAATTACAAACCATCTGGAATTGCAACGCTCAGTGTGAC